TTGATTTCAGAATATAAATTCCTGAAAACCAATTTGTACAGTAAAGACAAGAGAAAAATTGTATTATTGATGAAAATAAAATATTAAACTTCGAATAAATACTCAAACTTGCACTCAATAAACAATTTCTACATTTCTTAATCAATAATATTTTTTTTTTTAAATCAAATGAAATGAATTAAGTGACATTATGCAGAGAATAATTAATTGATCCACATTAATATTGAGAATCAACTATACGGTGATTAATTCCTACATCACTGTTAATTATAAAATGATGAAATAATTTATATTAACTTAAATATTTAGACACAAAATAGTGAATCAATCTCAATTAACATTACAGTGATAAATTAATTTACATTAGCATGAAGCATTAAGCATGCAATAATGAATTGATGTACACTAATATTGTATATTAAGCAATTTACAATAATGAATTAATTTGCGATCAACATTAAGCAATTAGCAATCGATTCATTTGCATTAGTATCAAACATGAAGTAAAGCATATAATAATGAATAGTTTATATTGCTAACATTAACCATTAAGCATACAATAATAAATTGGTTAACATCAACATTAAGCATACAATAATCAATTCAATACATTAATGTTAAGGTATGAAACATTAAGCATGTAATAACAAACTAATTTGCATTAACATTAAGCATTAGACTGACATTAAAAATACAGCAAATTTTTCAATCATGTATTATTCAATACAGTATGCATATATCGTATGTACATAATATGTAGTATATTTGGCATATTATAATGCTGATGACAAAATTTAGAAAGATTCGGTTTGTTAGAAACAAATTAAATATGCAAAATAATCCCTGAAATATGCTAAAATTGAAGCTTCTTAAATGAAATATGCATGAACGCTTAGAAAATGTTTCAGAAGTGGTCTATTTTGGTTGATATAACTTTTGAGAAAGCTCAACACCTTATTGTTATGTATTCCGTTGAACGAAAATTGTTCTTTTTTTTTTTGTATTTTAAATTTTATATTTGAAATTTATCATCATATTTCATTGATAATTATAAAATAGAAATTCATAATGAAAATATTTACATTCTAACAGCATTATCTTAATTTTTTTTCCCAATTTGTTTTAATTTCGTTTTTTTTTTCTTGAAATTTGAGCATATTTTGAATGAACTAAATTTGATTCATTGATTGGAGAAAAAAAAATTTAGTCTCGGAAAAAGGTATAAAAATGTCATTTTTTAGCGCTTAATGCAATCATCAATTTTTCATTAATTGTTTTACTTGTTTTTTATAAATGTTTATTTCACAAAAAAAATTTTGCTTGTAAGCAAATTTTGATCCAAAAAATTGTTTGGTAAACTATTCTTTGCTGTCATTAAATGATAAATTCATTCTGAGTTCGTTTTTTGAGGCATTTGAGAGATCATAATGATGAAAGATGATACTATTGATATTATCTAATTATCAAATTAATTTGATGTAATTATAACCATTAACATGACTTGTAATGATATCACTAATAAAATCTTCTATTACAAAGTAAGTCTATTATATTCCGAATCTTTAAAATATTCTTAAAGTTTATAAATAGCTGAAATAGATTTTTATTCTGTGTTAAAGCTGCCAGGAAGAGAGAATAATTAATTGCACGATACATCTAAGAAAATAGCTAGTTGCAAGCAAAACTAATTTCTTAGTTAATTTCCAGGTGACTTCAAATAAATGTAAAATTTTGAGGTTAAGAACCTCAAAATTTTACATTTATTTGAAATCACTTGGAAATAAACAGTAAATAACAGTAAGACTTTTTAATTGTTGAAAGATCACAAATATTGTTGATAATATCAACGAGCTTAGCCTGGTTGAAAAATTTGATTAATTTAATTATGCTTCAACATAATCAAAAAGGTAAAAGTCAGATTAAGGTAAAAAATCAACTCGAAGAATACCATAATTGGAGGCATTTATGCAATTAAAAAATAAAAAGAATTTAATCGAGAATTATTATACGTGAGAGAACAGAAGCCATCAAAAAAAAAAAACGATGAATTCAAATTTGATTGATTTCGTAAAGTTTTCAAAATTATCACTTTTATTTCGGCTTTTACACCCGTATGTAACTTAAAGTAACTGAAGATTTGTCATTGACTTTTTTAAATTTTTTTTTTCATTTTATCTTCGATAATGCGAACACAATGGATTAAAAGAAAGATTGAATGCTGAAATTTGGAGTATAGGAGGCTGAAAAGTTAAATTTAGCTTTCTATACTGCAGTATAAAAGGTTAAAAGCTGAAAATTATAGAAGCTTGAAAGTTAAAATGCAAATTTTAACTTTCAGCTTTCTATAACTTTCAACTTTTAGCCTTCTACACTCCAGCACAGAAAGCAGGATGACAATTATTGATTTATTTTAAAATCAAAAATTTTGTATAAGAAATTAAGAATTAAAGAAAATACAATTCTATTTAAAGTTTCATCTTTCATAGTTTTGCTCTTTTATCGATATAACGCTGTTTTTGATAATTTAATCTATTAGTTTTTTGTAGCGAGAAGATCAAGACTGAAGTTTTCTTCCAATCTAATAATTACCTAGCCTGTAGTTTTTGACACAAAATTATCCCTTTAAAAAATTCCTTTGAGGATCACAGCTGAATAACTGATAACTTAAAATAGTCATAACTGTTAGTTATTAACTCGCTTCTTGCTGACTAATTTCATAGCTTAATATTTGAACTTGTCTGTTTGGAATTTATTAGATTTAATTTCATAAACAAGTTCATTATGTTCCTTGATAATTAAAATTTCTTATCAAAATTATTTTCAAACTTTTTTTTTTTTACACTAACTGAATATAGCAAATCGGCGTCTACTACAAAAAATAAAAGTTAATTTATAGGAAAAGATTTTTTTTTCTCTCTCTCTCTTCTTTCAGTCTTTTTTGCTGTGTGCCTTCAATTTTCCATTATTGAAAAAAAAAAAAAGAATGAAAAATAAATCAGTTGAAGAACAGAAGATATAACATCCTTTATTTGCTATAAATTAAACCTCATCACTAAACAAAATATCATTTGTTATCATAATCAAAAGCTTTCCTATCCAAAAAAAGAAATTGAAGAAAGAATGATTAGCCAATTCTTTCTTTAATAATTCCTTTCCATTCCTGTACATTTATGTATATATATATAAATTTCTTTTTTTCATTATTCAATTTTGTTACCTAAAAATTAAATAAACGTTTTAAAAATGATAAAATGTTGGTGAATAAACTATCGGTTTATTTTAAAATGCAAATTTTGATTGAGAAATTTGCTGAAGAACGTATTTTGCGATATTTTATTGTCCATTGTTATGTTTTCTAAATAAAAATGTCTTTGACAATTATTGATTTATTTTAAAATCAAAAATTTTACATGAAAAATTTATTGAACACATTTTATGTCAGGTCATATTTTATTGTTATTCTTTCAACGAGTTCGAATATGACAATTACTGATTTATTTTAAGCTCAAAATTTTAATTGGGAAATTTGTTGGTTATAATGTGTCATTGTTCATATTGTATAATTTATAATTGATTACACTTAAATCAATAAATTTGAGAAAAAATTCAAAAAAAAATAGTAGTAAAATTTTATAGAATAAATAATCACAACATTAGGAAATTTTGATTTTTTTTTTTGATCAATCCTTCATAATGTCTTTTGTACTGAAAATTTGTTATAAAAAAGATGTTAGTACTTAAGATTTAAAATTCGTGAATTCAAACTAACCAATTTTGAATAATATTGTAGATTTCGAATACTCTTAAACATCATAAACTTTTTAAAAGAACACATATCTCTGACTGTTTACCTCAAATTTTTAAATGTAGCAAAAATAAACAATTATAATTAGCGCAATTACTGCTTTTTCATTAAAAAGTTTTTTATTCATTCATAGCCTCACTTAAACTTTCTGTTCTCACTGCTTCTAAAAAATAAATTCCAACCACAGGATCTTAGGTAATATTCTTTTCATTTCGGGAACGATAATTATGGATCAGTAGTTTAAATCTTTTTCATAATTTATCATTTTAACTTATTCAAATTTACTAGCTATTATTTCATATCTGCGAACGGTATTTAGATGAATTATTATTTATATCTTTGACTGTGATTGCAAGTAAAACATTTCAAGTTATCAATTTTGAATTCAATGTTTGCTAACTAGCCCTAAACTAAAGAATTAGTACAATATCATGATAATGTAATTGTTATTTTCTAAATATTTATTCTTGAATTAATTTAATGCTTATGTTGCAGTCTGATGGTATCATAATACTTTTATGGTTATCGTGATTTCTCATACATTTATTTTTGGAATATTTGAATTTGTTTACTTTAAATTATAATAAAGGCAAAATCAAAAATTTAATGAATCCCTGTATGAATTAATATAAACATTATAATCATTATCATTAACTTTCATAAAATAATGCAATCTTTACAATTAAAAACATTTTTTTCAGTAACAAATAATAATATAATTTAATGAAAAGACAGAAAAAAAATTCAAATTAACAGTTGTTATTAATGAGTGAGAACCCTGCAAAATAATTGCAATATAACCAATAATGATGGCAAATTTTTCTTTTTTTTTTTTTAATTTAAAATTGTTCGAAAATTAAGTCGATTCAGTTATGCTGTAACATCAAATGCTATTAAATAGCTATTTAAAAAAAAAAAATGAATGAATGGAGAAAAAAAAAGGACAGATGATAAAAGAAAAATTTCACGTTCAAATATTCAGCAAAAATGAAAATTGGTTCATTGTTACTCTTTTACCATTTTTATGCGGCTCAAAATAGAATTATCATTTTAGGTTTTTTTCCTACTTAATTTTTATGAATTTTGAAAAATTTAATTAATTACTATTATTTTCGATTGTTCTCTGTATAGCATAATAATTCATAATTATTTCAAATGTAATAACTTTTTAGCATTCAGCTCAAAGCTTTAAACTATGACGGAATATGGCATGACAACAACAGCAGCAGCAACAACAACAACAACAACAACAATAGCAACAACAACAACAATAGCAACGACAATAACAACAACAATAACAACACCAACAGCAGCACAATCATTACCTCATCATTTTAATATTCGCGTTCATGTGGATGCAAATAAAACACCGCTAAAAGTTGTCCTAAATGAAACAAAACGTGAGAAAAGTAAAGAAGTTAAATTATTATTTCAATGAAAAAAAAAATTTGAAAAAAAATTTTTAATATATTAATTGTAGAAAAAAATTATTAGAATTTTGTTTTGTGAAACAAAAAAAATTTTTGTATTTCTTTTCAATTTTTTTTTCCTTCCCGACAATTTTGGGTTAGAAATTAAAAACAAAAAACGGTAATATTTCGATTTTTATTTACAATCGATAAGTTCAAATTGTTTTGCATAGTTTTTTTTTTTGGTTTTTTCTTTCTTTTTTTTTTATTTCAGCAAAAAATTGTTCTCCAACTAATCAAAAACATCATTCTGATAGCTCTAAAAAAGTAACAAAAATTTGCATTGCACCATTTCCAAATGCTACAGCAACAAATATAACTGATGATGCAGGTTTACTACTTTTAATTTCAATTTACATTTATAAGTTAATGAATTAATCAATACAACTTATTATCTATTAAAAAAAATCAATGATAACTTATCGATTGAACGATTCATTATCTTTAATAGCATCAGTCATACTGCTAATAAAAAAAATGTTTTGTTAAATTAAACCTTTTAAAGAATGTGTCAAAATTGTTTATTAAAAAATCTGAAATCATTTTTATACTGAAAAAAATATGCTCATTTTTAGCTTCACTCACTTCATTAACACAAGCTGAAATTTCACCAATAATTTCATCAATTTTACCTCAACAATGTCGTTCAGCATCAATTTCAATGCTACGTGACAAATGGGCCAACAAAATGGAATTTTTACTTGCAGTAATTGGTTATGCAGTTGATCTCGGTAATATATGGCGATTCCCATCCACATGCTACAGATATGGCGGAGGTATCGATAATTTTCTTCTTTCTCTCTCTCTCTCTCTCTCTCTGTCTCTCTGTCTCTCTCTTACTGTCCCTTTCTTTTTATGGTTTAAAGGAATAATTTTTAAGCATTAATTTTGAAATGATTGAATATTATTTTACTCGATTTCCGTCCAAACTGCTACAAATACGATGGAGGTATCGATAACTTTTTTTCCTCCTTCCTCTCTCTCTCTCTCTCTCTCTCTCTCTCTCTCTCTCTCTCTCTCCTTCACTGTCCTTTCCTTTTCATGGTTTAAACGAATAATTTTTTAAACATTAATATTGAAATGATTGAATAGTATTTTATATTAGCCGATAAATGGAAGTATGGAAAATTTTTCAAGGATATTAAAAAGAGAATCTTTTATATTCAAATTATTCAAATTTCACACGCCGATTTATAGAGGAAAATTCAAATTCAAAAAGAATAATTCTAAAATTTCAATTTACTCAGATTAGTTTTACATGTGGTTCCATGTGAATTAGAATGATTTGGTAGGGAAAAATGTGCACTAAAATATGAAATAATATAAGAAGTAAATTGTTGCTATATAAAATATTCAATTAAAAATATTCCAACAAATAAAGATAAATGTTTAATAATTTAACATTAAATGAAGAAAAAAACAATTAAAAATAAATTTTAGAAAATAAGTTGAATATGCTTTAAAATTCAATAATTAAAAAACGATATAATCAATCAATCAATCAATCAGTTAATCCACTATCTAGTCAATTCATTAATTAATAAAAAAAATAATTTAGATGCAAATTGTTTTAGGTGCATTTTTGATACCATATTTGATTATGCTTTTTATTGGTGGTTTGCCAGTATTTTACATGGAATTGGTCCTTGGACAATTTCATCGTTCTGGCTGTATAAGTATTTGGAAAAAAATTTGCCCAATTTTCAAAGGTTGAAATTATTTTTGCTAATTTTACACCTCATTTATGCTATCTTTAATAATATTATCATTCATTAGTAAATTTTAAATTCCTAATAAAATATCAAAATCTTCATTGAGTTAATAGTTGATTGAAATTTTTGAAGTAAAAAGAATTTCAATTAATTTCATTTCATCCTACCTTGATTAAATTAGTTTGAAAAGTTGATAAAAATATACTTATTATAGGTATCGGTTATGGTATATGCTTTATATGTACATTCATTGCTTGCTTCTATAATGCTATTATTGCACATGCATTGTACTTCTTATTTAGCTCTTTACGGGTAATACTATCTTTAAAATTATTCACATAAAAATTTTAAAATTATTATAAAAA